TTAAATTGCTGTCAGATTGGGATGCATGTCAGTGCTTGTATCTTTATTTCAAAATGAATTGGAAAAAAAACATCCATTTTATGTGTGTGCAGATTATGCACATATCAGAAATGGCACTTCATGACAGTCTATACACATGACACAAACACGCATTATACCAAGAATTTGAAAAGCATAACCCCTGAACTGAAACAACTCCACAGTGCTCCAGAAGCTTAGTATGGAGTGCAGGAAGTGGAAAGCGCTTTGGTTCGTTCCCTTTTCAAACGGCGCCCAGTGAGAAGCATCCCCTTAAAATCTCTTTTCATTTAAACAAATCACTTCATGAGACTAAATAAAAGCAATGTGAGCTGAGCTGTGGGAAGGGAATGGATATTATTAGGCTGGTTTCATTGCAGCACAGACTGAATTATACTAACAGTCACCTTAATTGACTTGGCTCATCCTCCTTTTCTCCTCTCTACTGTGAAATAGGCAACAGGGAGAGTAGGCTTGTGAGACATCTTTTAAAACCTGGCATTTGTGTGACTTTGTGTGCAAGAATCTTCCTTCCTATTTGTTTACCTGCCAAAATTTAAGAGAAGATCTGCTTGGCTGCCTGAAAACTGTTGTTGGATCCAGTCATAGTAATGTTGTTTTGACAAAATTATCTTGTTTATCAGCCACCACATTAAGGGATGCTTAGTGCTTCAGTTCACCCATTCATTTCTGTTGGTTTGATATGAAACTTCATGTTTTTTTATTGGTTTCTGATAAACTAGCAGGCACACAGATAAAAAATAAAATTTAAGGTATCAAATAGACTAGAGAATTTTTAAACTTAAACCTGACAGATTAGATATTCTCAAGAAACAAAAGCAAAAGATAGTTATTCAGCTGTAAATATAACCTGAAACGATTAGTAAATAAATTGTTCTGTACGATTGATAAAAAAAAAAAATACACAATTGTTTTGACAATTGATTGACCATATAAATTATTTTTCAAGCAAAGATGCTGAACATTCTGGTTATAGCTATACCATTATGGTTATACCATTTTTCATTATTTTCTCACATTTTTATAGACGATATCAATAACTTGAGAAGGTAATTAGGAGATTAATCAATAATAAAAAAAGAAATACATCAGTTGCCGGCCAAAATATGAAAAAAGCAGTACAGGACACTGGCAAAATTAAAACAGTCTGCATCTTGAAAAGGATAGCTTTAAAGACAAAAGGGGTCAAACGCTGTGGGGTTCATTTAGCTGGTTCAAACATGGCAGGTGTGAAGTCACCCTGTGCCCTGTGTGAGGTAACGTGAGGCCTTTCACCCTGAGGAACAGACACAAGCTGCCCATGAGTGCGTCTCATCTTATCAATCAATTAGTGGATGAGATATGGCTCTGACAGCGTGGCCGACAGGAGGTCGGGTGTTTTAACTCTGTCAGTACTGAGGCTGTACACGTATAATCTCAACACGTGGAACATTAGGAAAAGCATGCAATGCAATGAATGTTAAATGATACATTTTTGCAATGCTTTTCATCAAAATGCAAGCAAATAAAAAAACAGGTGCAGTAGTGGTTATTACTGCTGGATGTCTAAATAAGTCTTTGTTTGCAGAATGCAGAAAAGTAAATTCTGTATATGTAATATTGTAGCGTGTTCATTATGGTAGGAAAGCTTTTCCTACACAATTTTCCACTTGTTTTAGAAAAATGTGTCAGTAAGGGAAGCAGTCGCTCCCTGCTGTCTTGTCAGCAAACTGGAGCAGAATAGAGGTCATATTCAAAAGGCCATACACACTTTCTCAATTTGATGTGGCACTGCAAGACACTAATCTCATTCTCTAGATAAAAAAATCTCTTCAGTCAAATAAATATGCCAAAACAGTCTAAATGATGTGCTACAGCCATCCACAATCAGACATAAGCTGTGACCCAATTCCATACTACAAACTTAATCTGAGCAGGTTTTGAGTATGTACTGTGTTTACAAGGAAAAACTGCGAAAATAAAGTATGCTTAAAACAGTCGGTATGCAGGCAACAAATGCTTGATTTTTGAGTGTGCTATTGATGGGCATTGTTGTCCCACAATGCAGTGCACAAAGAAAATAGAGAAATAAAGATTTTTTTCCAGTTGTTCAAAGCTCAACACATAACCCACCTATAGTATAGCAGTCGGTTGCAGAGATTGCTGCTGAGTAACCTGGTTTCATCAACTGTTAATCTTTACTTTTAGGTTTAGTTAAGCCGGCAGCGTGAACTAACTAACTTGATGACGTCTCTACTGATAAACAATCTGTCTTTATTATAACTTCGCTGTATCAAGTGTGTGTTTTTTATTTTGTTCATTTTTGTTTATTCATATTGTCAGCCAGTTTAGAATGGTTAATGCCCACTGCAGCTCAAATCTTGGCTGTGTCTGTATTAAGTGCACTATATTTACTGTCTGCTATTTAATTTCAGCATTAGAAATCTAGATATTTATACGGAAATAAAGTAGTGTAAATGGCATGTACTCTACCTTCCGTTACCAATCCCACAATGCAATGCGACACATGCAAAAATTACAGTTGCGAAATTACACCTGGTGTCAGCAATGATGCAAAACGACAATGTTTAAAAAAGTGTCTGAAATCTCAATCTACTGCTCACAATTAAGTCTATATGGGGTAGTGAGGGATTTCGGACACAGCTTTTTTCTCCCTCTGTAAGACTGGGGAGGATGTAGCCATGTAGCCATGTGTCTCCTCCTATACGGAGTCACCAGTTGCTCATTTTCTTCTGCTAGAACGCTGTTACATTCATGCCAAAACGGTGGCCATTGACCCAGATTTCCATAAATATTATTGTAGCTAACATCAGAGCGCCTCATAAGAGTCAGGAACCACAAGTTAGTTGCTGGATACTGGAATGTCAAAAATGCATTTGGTAGACAGAGCCCAAAAACGGGGACCACGCAAACACCAAATCTGTTCTTTTGCTCTGGATCAGTCTCACACTTTTAAGTATGAATGATGATCTGAAAAGGCTATTATCTGACACAGAAAAAGTCAATAGCATTCTGATGAGGTTGAAGTGAGGGAGAAATTAACAATGGATATAATATTCATTTAATTTCATGTGCTGTGTTATAATAGTACAGCGAAATATGTGTGGTAAGCCTACAGAGAGCGACAGCCTCATAAATCAACATTAAAAAGGGCCATCTTATTGGCCAGTTGTTCGTCCAAGGCTTTTTTCTGGAGTGATGATTGATCAAGCTGGTCAGCGTGGCGAAGTGACACAGGTGGTGGCGAGTGAGGGTGATTAATGGCCCCTCGTCAAAACAGGTGCGCAGAAAATGCAAGGCTATGGTTAGAGGCTCTTAAGGAATAGCAAATATATACTGAATGCATAACACCTCCTCATGGTTTGCAGATGTGGACATTTAGAGAGAGTATGCTGCAAGTCAAAATAAATAAACACTTGACTAAACAAGGTATGTCAGGTATCAGGGTACAGTTTCCAAGTCTGCTGTTTTGCCAGAAACACCCAGCAGCACAACTTCTACTTGAAAGCTGGTATTTGCAGAACTTGCAGAGTCAGTGTCAAAGAGTAACAAAGTGCGGCGGCTCCAAAACATATATTTTTGCTTTTTTTAATGTAGCATTTAGTTGCAAAATCTACTGTCTATGCAGCGGACCCACCACCTGCACTGTGACATTTAACATCCCTTATAATGTTAGAAGGTATTGGGCAAATCTTGATTTCACACTCCAGCACCAAGAAGCATGAAGCTGAGAAACAAAGCAACATTACATTCCTACCACTTGTAAACAAACCCACTATGGAGGAAAAAATTGATTAAAAGACAAAATAATAGAACCACTGAAAATACAACAGCCCTGCAGTAAATAAGTAAAGGTTCATAATGTTCTGTTTTTGGACAGACTGTAAGAGTTGTTGATTAAACTATGGACATTTTGAGCCAGTTTGTAATGTTGTCAAGCAAATACAAGGTTATGAGTCTTTTAGTCAATGTTGGTGAGTTGTTGAGTTGAGTGGGTCTACATGTTGTTCCTCTCTAGTGTTACTTTGTAAGGATTTTCAGGTGTTTTATGTTTAACATTGCAATGAGACTTAAGCAACAACAATAGAAATATCAGCTTGAGATCACAGCCGGAAAGCACAGGTGTATTTAATAACGTAAATTATGGCTCTGTTCCATTTAGGTGCTCCAGTTCCAGGGCTCTGGTATTGCATATGATGTCTCACTGGCATGGCATACTGGGACACTTATATGTCATTAATGTGATTAGTTATACCTGTGCTTCTCCTGCTATGACAAGTCAAAATGTGCGGTGGGAAAAGTGCACTCATACAGGGACCACCTGGCCTCTTTCTGTCTCTGTAAGTTGTCTTCATTTGCCTTGAAAGTAAGTTAGAAATCACACAGTCTTCATCAGCAGCAAAGCACTATGGATGAAATCATGACAGCTACTGAGCTTGTCTGTCAACAGAAAACTTCATCCACTGAGCTTAACACCATGTAATGTGGTATAAAACTCAGAAAAAGCTAGTAAGTGTGCCTTGAATTGGAATCCTTAATACAGTGGGTGCACAAAGCCCAGTCAGTCACACAAGCACATACAGCACAAACAGCATCAGAAACAATCACAGACATCTCTAAAAAGGTCTAAAATTAAAAGTTGAAATCTATACAATGACCAATACATTTTGTTGAGAGTCCTTTGTTATTCATTCAATCTATATGGCGTAAAGTTTTGCAAAGTAGTCCTCCCAAGTTCAGCTTTTACTCCTGAGGTGTCTATAGTCAGTCCGGGTGATCTATTCAGATGAACAGTATTTTTAAATTTGAGAAGAGACGTGATAAACTGAGGCAGCTTGAGTGAGTGCCAGCCTACATTTGAACTTAACAATTCTAATAATCTATAGTAAATCAGCAGGCAACTCAACTGTTGCACAGGTAAATGAAATAAGAAATGAGAAAACAAAATCAGTGCACCCTACCTGTGCTGACAACCTTTACCAGTCGGCGCAGCCTCCTCTGGTGGGTCTTCCCTCTGCTGTGGATCTGGGCCTGGGCGCTTGAGTTCAGCTGTATGTGGCACACCTGGCACATAGTGGCACTGCTGCTGCCTTGACGCCGCTCTCGTTTGGCCCTGTGCCCTGCCACCACCTTCCTCTCCTCCTCATCTTCCTCCTCTTCTTCCTCCTCCTGTCCCTGCTGGCTCTTGGGAGGAGGGCTGCTGTCCAGCCAATTGGGGCTCTTTGGACGCTTCATATCTGGAGAAAGAAAGGCCATTAATCATAGCTGTTGATAGAAAATGGAGCAGTGCTGCAACACATTTCATTCAAAATGTGTGGCATGTATGTTGTTAAAGACTCCACAGGGGGGCAACAGAGCAGCATGACTCCATCCAGAGCAGAGTAGGACTGGTCTCTTTGGTGTGATTCAAACTGCAATTATATGTCCACCACCATTATAATGCTTCATATTTCATTGCACCAAACAGAGATATTTCATAGGCAGACAAAGGGTTATAATTTGGATTTATCTACATCCTTTGAAAAGAGCGTTCAATGTCAGCATGTACAAATTTCTTTCTTCAACATCTCATTAAAGGGCTTGAATTAAGGGCACAGTATACTTCTTCTGAATGTATAAACACGCTTGACTTCTGACAGCACGTCACATAAAGCGCTTCTTTTCTAGTATAACCCGGCCCTTGGACATCCACTATCTGAAAGGAATGGCATATCTCTGGCACACATCAGAGCATTACAACAGAGACATTTACAGTCTGTAGATAAGTATCTTGTTCCAGCTTCTCTCTATTTATCAGGTAACAAAAGCTGAGTCCCGGGGTACACAATGCGACATGCTTCTTTGCGAGAGCACACAGCCTTAATACCTGTAATGGCTGAGTGATTGTGGCAGACTGACAGCATAAATCAAGCTGCAGCTGAATGCAAGCTCTGCCATGAATGTGGAAATGTCACCCAAAGTCTAACTGAACTCTTTGCTTTGGTGCTGCTCATATGATAATGGCATCAATTAGTCCTCCTGGTGTTGGACATTTTATCCTCTGCCTCGTTGAATGCACACACACACACACACACACACACACACACACACACACACCAAACAGAAACCATCATTTGTAAAATCTCTGCTGTTCTAAAAATTCAATTTGACTGGCGGAGAGATGAAAGTGGAATGGAAATGTGCTCACTGGAATTCAATCAGCCTTCAACCAGCAACACGGACTTCAAAGCAGCAGCCCATCACCATGATTATTTGAATGATGTTTTACTGCAGGCTGGCAGTGCATAGGGACATGAGTAACTGCTGGGGAAGATGTTGATGCGTTTCAACACAACCAGGTGTTCGCCGCGACCTTGACCACAACAAACACATGTTTAAAACACACAAAGTCTGAAAAAAGGCCCATCACCATTTGAAATGTTGATTAATGTATCTGACAAGTCACAAAATTTTGATACTGAACATGTCAGTAAAATGTTCACTGAACACGTATTTCATTAGTTTTCTGCCAAAATATCTGAAATTGCAATACAATATCTGCTTGTAGCGACTACAGCTTTATTAAACAATTATAGTTATATTTAGGAAACAAAAGCAGTTTGGTTAAGAAGGGAAAGATCATGGTCCACAGTGACTTAAAGCAAGAGCCACAACTTCTTTATAACATTTAACCGAGACCACGATTGTTTCCTAATCTTAACCAAAGTGTTTTTGTTGCCTAAACCTATTAGAAGGGACTCAAGATGTAAACCCTGCTTTCTGGCGTGTGCTTTGCAGTGCTTCATTTGCTCAAAACGAAAAGATGCCTCTGGACGCAACTGGAAAACCAATATAGTAATTTATATACATAATTTTTTAGAGACAGGGTTGGGGGGAAAAAAGGCAACCCACTCTCCAGAAGAAAACATCAAACACTTGAAAAACAGTTTCTTATTTTATTACAAGGCTAGTATATAACATCTCGGCTCAGCTGTGATTTCTCTGGGTGCCAGTAACACCTTGCAAGGCTAGTGCTGGTGTAACAAATAAAAATCAAATCCGGGGTTTGCAGAATCATCCAATAATGATTTCTTCTTCTGATGAGTGGGTTGAAAACAGTGGAGGAAATGCAACGGGTTCCAAATATAAGCTATGAGCATACGTAAAATGGCAAAGGAGAATTACTCAGACAAATGTGAATAATATTTGAATGACTAGACTCCTGGCATAAATCCATAGATTTATTCATTACATTATTCAAGTCCCACACATTCATTCCATTTAGGAGCACTTGTGTTCATAAATTCATTGGTGGCCCTGGATTGTCATAATTTCCCATGAAGTTCTACGGTTAGTACCAAAGGCAATGGCTGTCTGATGGTGAGGTAAGCAATGAAAATACAGTGTACATGTAAACTTGGTCAATTTTTTTTTTTTTTTGCTGCTGGGAATCCTGAGCTTCTCTAACCTGGGAGTGAGCTGACCACCATCTACTGAAGGTAATACACTGAATATTACCTCAAACAACTTCACCTCAAAATACCAGAACTATCCCTTTACCTGGGCCAATACTTTTTTTGTCCCACCTCATTACTCTTATTACTTACTTTTTATCACCCCATACCAATAAATGCAGGCACATGTAATTTTTCATTAAGCATGACATATTAATTGTTTTCCTACCGAAACAAGCTGCAGACAGCAGGAATATGCTGTGTTTATGTCTCATTTATGTCAGATGGCTGCTGGATAAGAGCTCTTGCCTCCAAAGTCTTTTGTCAGTAAATGGTCTGTCGTCTCAGAACAGTATTGATGAGTAGACAGCAGACAGGGTCAGTCAGAGGGAGGCGTGGGCTGTCTAAATCACTTTAAGGTGGTTTGCATCGATGAGGTCCCTCTATTCAGGGATAAAATGGACGCTAAAACTACCGGAAGTCAGTTTACTCATCTTTTGAGGATGTCCTGTTTTGTCTCCGTTTAGTGCGTTTTGGGATTATGGCAAATTACCTGTTGAAATAACCACAGCATATTAACAAAGATGTTTTTGATAAAACAATGTTGATTATTATGTACTGTCCTCTATAAATAAATTTAAAAAAAACTAAATGAATCCCATGATTTTCTAGATTGACCAGAATCTGTATTCCTCTGAAACAGTATTTAGACATAAAAGTCAATTTTTGCCCTTTCTCAAGTCACATGATAACAATGCAAACTCAATTTGCTGTTAAAGACAGTGAGATGTGGTTTTGGAAAAAGTGAGCCTTGCATTAAAATAATTTTGTCAAAGTATTTAGACAATCCGGAAGGGAAACTCTAAGACATACTGCAGCATGTAAATACATTTACAACAAATATATCAGAATACTAAAATACTACAATATATATATAGTATTTTACACAGTTTCTTGGGTCTGTTGAATGAGAAACCACTATCAAACCATGTAACAGGTGTTACAATATCTTGCCAGCAGTATACAGTATGACTATCTGTGAATATATTACCCTATATCTTCAAGTGTACTGTACCGATCAGCCATAACATTATATCATACCACAGGTCAAGTGAATAACACTTATTATGTCTTTACTATGGCACCTGTCAGTTAGTTAGATATATTAGGCAGCAAGTGAAAAAAAATGTGTGTTAGAAGCTGGAAAAATGGGCAAGTGTATGGATTTGAGCTACTTGGGCCTAATTGTGATGGGTAGACGACTTGGTCAGGGCATCTCCAAAACTGCAGCTCTTGTGGGATGTTCCCAGTCTGATGATGTTTGTACCTATAAAAGTGGTCCAAGGAAGGAAAAGCAATGAACTGGCAGCAAGACTCACTAAAGCACATGGTGATCGAAGGCTGGTCTGCATGGTCCGATCCAACAGACGAGCTACTATATGTTAAATTGCTGAAGACGTTAATGCTGGTTCTGATAGAAAGGTGTTAGAACACACAGTGCATCGCAGTTTGTTGTATATGTGGCTGCATAGTCGCAGACCAGTTAGGGTGCCCATGCTGACTGATGTTTGCAAATGATAATCTTCTCCTAATCATTAATTCATTAACAACCCCCTTGATGGTTATTTATGTAATCGTTGAATGTTCATGCTCTTCAGGCTGCTGGATTAAAGTACCAGAGCTGTTATTATTCCAAGTCAAACACTGTTCAGATGCTCGTCTTGACAAATGTCTGATACTGTACAATGATGGCACTAGTCGAGGTGTAAACCCTCCATCACACTGGAACCACCCAAGCTGCTCCCCTCACTCATCTTTATGTGGTCAGCTGGAGTTGGCACCTGACAGCCCCATTACAAAACAACTTTAAACAGGTTGCCGGCTGGCCAGCAGCATGCTGGTTTCTGTTGGCACCACAGCCAGGACTGGCTTCTGAGTGGGCAGCTGGAACAGCCCAATCCCCTGCGACAGACAAAATGGCTAAAGTTATTGGTGCTGCACAGAACAAACTGTGGCACCTGCAGCTGAAAGTGGATTTAGTTCATAAAACCACTGCAGCAATTTTTTATTGCAATCTATTAACTTTGAATTTTCACCAGTGTTGCAGGTGTAATGCAAAGTATTTAGATTAACATAACGTCCTTCAAAATGGTTTGGAGGGGAATTATAGTGTCACACAGGAATTTATGTGTTTTTTTCCCTTTAGAATGAACACTCTTGCACTCCAGAAAACCATAAACTGACTTTATGAAAAGAGCTGCAGTATTTAAAACCAAGAGGATGGAACATGCAAAATAATGACCACATAATGCGCAAATGTTCAAAATAATGATCCAAAAATTTGCGTTAATGTAACACATCAAGTTAGACGCAGAGACTTTCTAGATGATGTAACACGTAGTCGATCACTTGTACTCTTTACGACTGAAGAGAGAACAAGTGTTTTTGTTCTTTCAATTGTAATAGTAAACAAAACAAGTCAGTGTTGTCACCATTTTGCTGGTGATTTCATCATTATCTGCAAGCATCAGACCGCATACACTTTTTTTTTGTTTAACGTCTGCATAAATCACAGCAGACTGTGTCTGCAATTTCTAATCTTGTTAATGAGCCAAATTATTTATTGAGATTTAATGTTGATATTAACATGGAAAGTGAAAAACAAACCAAATCAATGTTGCACACAGTAATGTTGTGATAGAAAAAAAGTGACAGAAATGATAAAATACTAAATTTCATCAAGCCGATTTACCAATAACTAGCATCAACTAAAGATATGATGATGAACATGTAGTTGGCGGCCCGTACA